AAAAAAGGATGGATATTCAATAAAAATATACCTATTTAGGCATATATGACATGACTTCCTATATGATAGGACAACCTGTACCTCATATTCATTAATATATGAGAGAAGTTTTAAAAAAGTATGAATAAAAATTATTAGTTACTTTCCCCAAATAGAGTTGTAGCAGGTTCATGCTAAAAAAATCTATTGTATCTACTTTTTGAAATACAAAAGGACAAGGCGGAAAAATGAAAAAGTAGGTGGGAAAAATGTGAAATTTAATCATAATCAAGTAGCTCGCGAGCCGTCTCGAGCTCGATAAAAGTGTGACGAGCTCGAGTTCGAGCTCCTCTTTTGAGCTCAACTCGAGCTCGAGCTCGCTCTCTGACTAACGAGCCGAGATCGATAGTGCCAAAACTTGACTCAACTCGAATCGTTTACACCCCTACCCCTACCCAAATCTAATAATGCGGGCACTCCTAATTTGAGTCGTAAGCCCCAAACTAAATAAATTAATGAGCAACTCCTAATTCAAGCTGTAAGCCCTAAACTAAACAAATTAATGGGCAACTTGTAAGGAAGCCATAAGCCCCAAACCAAATTAAACTAATCTAAAATCCATACATCTTCATTTCAGTCTACTCGGGATCCCTGAGAGGAGGAAACCCATGGCTTCTAATCAGATTCCCTAGACACTAGAACCAATCATTGTTATTGTTGGTAGAGTGAACCCACGGTATACCCGGGATGATAGAACCATGGGATCTTGATCGGGTGTACCTTTATTCCACCCATAATTAAATTTAAATTTATGTTGCACATTTTCACACTTCTTGTAGGAAGATAAGTATATTTCATCCTTAATTGAGAGTACTCTTCTAATGTGTTAGGAGAGGTAATTAACTATGAGGGCTTGCGCTCATAGGAAGTAGAACCCATATCTAAGTAAACCCTGACATTATTATCATGGGAAATCTGGTTAAATATTAAACTCAATCTACCTCCGGGAAAATTAAAGGGAACCCCTAAATTCGTTAGAGTGAGGTTCTGGTCTTAATTTAAAAAGAGATTTTTTTTGGAGCGAATAGATTTCTGACAACTCCGCTCGGGATTACATCTCTCTCCATCTCTAGATGAAATGTATGCATATATACATATGCTTTTTTATTATATATTTGTATTTTCTTATGTATCAAAAACCAGGTTGACTCTAATCCATGTAAGTTCTGTTACAATTTGATGAAATGTCGTCTATCAAAAGTATGATGACTATCAAGCTGAAGGAAGGATCGTGCATCCAATTCCCCCAAATAATGATAGACACTGGTCGATCTGGTGCCACGCTGCAATTCAGAACTATTTCTAAAGTGTTCGAGTTCCTTCCTGGTGAAGCTGCACCAACCATGGAGATGATGACTGAGAATGCTGTTGTAACAAGACCTTATGTATTTTCAAGGCTGCCGGTTGCACCTGCTACAACCCCTTTGGTCAAGGAGAAATTTTTCAGGCCAACGACAAAACAAATCACTACTGATTATGTCTGCCATAATGTAAAAAAATATGTTGCTCACTATGAGAAGCCTATTACTAGGGCTTCCAACATAACCAATAAGGTAACCCTTTGGCAAAAAGACAGGCTCTTGAGCCTAAGTTAAAATCTGTTATCATTAATACAACAAATTTGAAGAGGAACGAACACACCCCTTTTTCAACCAACCTACTCTCTCTCTTTTTTTTTTTTGCAGCTCTTCCCCACAGCCTACGAACCACTGGCAGTGTTGGCTCACCTCTCATCCTAGGACCTAACCGTGTGGGAATGGCAATAACTTTTCACCAAGGACTCCGATTCGGCACTATGACCACATTTCAGAAAGCTCTTTCCGAGCCGGACGAGGACCCGATGCGCCTCAGGCCCATCGGCCGGGTTTGAGTAGTCAAAAAATGCATTTTTTGATTACCTTCATCCCGCTGGACCTAAAATCACCATTTCATCGGAGTCTACTTAAGTATTATTTGAGAACATAATATTATAGGTGCGACCATACCTGCACCAGGCACCAGATCCTATCAGAACTCTGCAGTTAACCATGCTTGGGCGAGAGTAGTACTGGAATGGGTGACCTCCTGCCTCGTGTTGCACCATTTTTTCAACCAACCTACTCTCTTTTTTTTGCAGCTCTTCGCCACAGCCTACGAACCACTAGCAATGTTGGCTCACCTCACATCAGATGAATAAATCCGCATCGTGGGAGGGTAAAGGCGACGGGGGGGGGTCCTAGGACCCGACCGCGCAGGAATGACAATAACTTTTCGACCAGGTCTCCGATTCGACGTTATAACCCCAATCCGGAAAGCTCTTTCCAAGCCGGATGGGGCGCTGATGCGCCTTAGGCACATCTCTCAGGCTCAAGCAATCAAAAAAGGCATTTTCGATCACCCTCGGCCCACTCGAATGAAGGGGCCCCAAAATCACCATTTCATCAGAGTCTACTTAAGTATTATTTGGGAATATAATATTACGGGTGCGACCATACCAGCAACAGTGCACCGAATCCCATCAGAATTCCGTAGTTAAGTGTGCTTGGGAGAGAGTGGTACTGTAATGGGTGACCTCTTGGGAAGCCCTCGTGTTGCACTCCATTTTCAACCAACCTACTCACTTTTTTTTTTTGCAGCTCTTTGCCAAAACCTACAAACCACTGGAAGAGTTGGCTCGCTTCACATCGGGCGAAGAAATTTGAATCGTGGGACCCGTAAAGGCGACAGACGGGTCCTAGGACCCAACCGCGCGGGAATGGCAATAACTATTCGCACAAGACTCCAATTTGACACTATGACCCCATTCCAAAAATCTCTTTCCGAGCCGGACGATTGCCTATGTGCATCAGGCCCATCGGCTCAGCTCACATAGTCAAAATATGCATTTTCGATCACCTTAGGCCCACCGAAATAAAGAGGCCCCAAAATAACCATTTCATCGGAGTCTACTTAAGTATTATTTGAGAACATAATATTACGAGAGCGACCATCGCAGCACCAGTGCACCGGATCCCATCAAAACTCGGCAGTTAAGCGTTCTTGGGCGAGATTAGTACTGGTTAGGTGACCTTCTGGGAAGCCCTCATGTTGCACCCCTTTTTTAACCCACCTAGTATCCTTTTTTTTTTACAGCTCTTTGCCACAACCTATGAACTACTGGCAGTGTTGGCTCGCGTCGCATCGAGCGAAGGAATCTACATCTTGGGAACCGTGAAGGCGACAGGCGGGTTCTAGGACCTGACCGCGTGGGAATGATAATAACTTTTCTCACAGGACTTCGATTTGGCACTATGACCCCATTCCAGAAAGTTCTTTCTGAGTAGGACAGGGAGCTGATCCGCCTCAGGCCCGTCAGTCGGGATCACGCAGTAAAAATATGCAATTTCGATCACCTTCGGCCCGCTGGAATGAAAAGGCCCTAAAATTACCATTTCATCATACTCTACTTAAGTATTATTTGAGAACATAATATTATGGGTGCGACCATAGCAGCACCAGTGCAATGGATCCCATCAAAACTTCGTAGTTAATCTTGCTTGGGTAAGAGTAGTACTGGGATGGGTGACCTCCTAGGAAGTCCTCATGTTGCACCCATTTTTCAACCAACCTTCTCACCCATTTTTTTTTTGTAGCTCTTCGCCACAGCCTACGAACCACTCAGTGTTGGCTCGCCTCGCTTCGGGAGAAGAAATCCGCTTCGTGGAACCCATGATGGCGACGGGAGGGTCCTAGAACCCGACCCTGCAGGAATGGCAATAACGTTTTGCCCGGGACTTTGATTTGGCACTATGACCTCATTCTGGAAAGTTCTTTCTGGGCTGGATGATCGACATTGTGCCTCAGGCCCATCGGCCGAGCTCGCGCAGCCAAAAAATGCATTTTCGATCACCTTCGGCACGCTGGAAAGAAGAAGCCCCAAAATCACCATTTCATCGAATTCTACTTAAGTATTATTTGAGAACATAATATTATGGGTGCAACCATACCAGTGCCAGATCACCATATGCCATTAGAACTCTGCAGTTAAGCATTCTTGGGTACGAGTAGTACTGGGATGGGTGTCCTCCTAGGAAGCCCTCGTGTTGCACCCCTTTTTCAACCAAACTACTCACTTTTTTTTTTGGCATCTCTTCGCTACAGCCTACGAACCACTGGCATTTTTGGCTCGCCTCAAGACTTTGATTAAGCATGTCGGGTGAAGAAATTCGCATTGTGGGACCCATGAGGGCGACGGGGCGGATCCTAGGACCCGACCGTGCGGGATTGGAAATAACTTTTTGCCCAAGACTTTGATTATGCACTATGACCCTATTCCGGAATGCTCATTTTGAGCCGGATTGGACGCTAATGCTCCTCAGGCCCATCGGCCGGGCTCGCGCAGTCAAAAAATGCATTTTCGATCACCTTCAGCGTGCCGGAATGAAGAGGCCCTAAAATCACCATTTCATCGAAGTATACTTAAGTATTATTTGAGAACATAAAATTACATGTGCGACCATACCAGTATAAGTGCACCGGATCCCATCTAAACTTCACAGTTAAGCATGCTTGGGCGAGAGTAGAACTGAAATGGTTGACCACCTGAGAAGTCCTCGTGTTGTACCCCTTTTTCAACCAATATACTCTCTCTTTTTCTGCAGCTCTTCAACACCTCCTATGAACCACTGGAAGTATTGGCTCGCCTCACATCGGGCAAAGAAATCCTCATCGTAGGACCTGTGAATGAGACAGGTGGGTCCTAGGCCCCAACCGCACGAGAATGGCAATAAATTTTCACCCAAGACTCTGATTTGGCAATATGACCAAATTCTAGAAAGCTCTTTCTGAGCCGGACGGGAAAGAATGCTCCTCAGGCCCATCGACCGGGATCGCGCAATCAAAAAATGTATTTTCGATCACCTTCATCTCTCCGAAATGAAGTGGCCCCAAAATTAGTATTTCATCAGAGTCTACATAAGTATTATTTGAGAACATAATATTATGGGTGCGACCATACCAGCACCAGGGCATCGGATCCCATCAGAACTCCACAGTTAAGCATGCATGGGCTAGAATAGTACTTGGATGGGTGGCTTCCTGGGAAGTCCTCGTGTTGCACCCCTTTTTTCATCCAACCTAGTCTCTTTTTTTTTCTACAGCTCTTCGCCATAGCATATGAACCACTGGCAGTGTTGGCTCACCTCACATCGGGCGAAGAAATTCACATCGTGGGACCTGTGAAGGTGACTGGAGGGTCTTAGAACCAGACTGCATAGGGATGGAAATAACTTTTCACATAGGACTCCAATTTGGCACTATGACCCCATTCTAGGAAGCTCTTTCCTAGCTAAATGGGGCATCAAAGTGCCTCAATCCAATCGTTCGGGCTCGCGCAGTCAAAAAATGTATTTTCGATCACCTTAGGCCCGCCAGAATGAAGAGGCCCCAAAATTAAAATTTCATCGGAGGCTACTTAAGTATTATTTGAGAACAAAATATTATATGTGCAACCATACTAGCACCAATGCACCGGATCCAAACAGAACTCGGCAGTTAGGCGTGCTCGGGCGAGAGTAGTATTGGGATGGGTGAGCTCCTAGGAAGTCCTCATGTTGCACCCCTTTTTCAACCAACCAACTTTCTTTTTTTTTTTGGAACTCCTCGCCACAGCCTACGAACCACTGGTAGTTTTGGCTCGTCTCATATCAGGCAAAGAAATTTGTATGGTGAGACCCGTAAAGGCGACGGGCGGGTCCTGGGACCCGACCGTATGGGAATGGCAATAACATTTCGCCCAGGACTCTGATTCGGCACTATGACCCCATTTCGAAAAGCTCTTTCCTAGCATGACGGGGCGCCGATGCGCCTCATGCCCATCGACCGGGCTCGTAAAATCAAAAAATACATTTTCGATCAGCTTCGGCATGCCGGAATGAAGCGGCCCCAAAATCACCATTTCATCAAAGTCTACTTAAGTATTATTGTTGAAGCTTGTTCACTATGAATTAGGTTGTTAAACCTAAGCGTATGTCCCAACGGCTAACCGAGAGGGGGGTGGGGGGGTGAATTGGTATTTAAAAAATTTTACCCTCTTTTTTGAAATTTAAAACCGAGAATTTAACTTTAGGAAATTTTTCTAGAAAATGTTTTTCAACTACAAGTTATAAACATAAAAACTAAAACAGCGGAAATATAAAATACACGAGATTTATAGTGCTTCAGTCAAAACCAGACCTACATCCACTCCCTAGAGGCACCCTCTGAGAATTGCACTAAACCACTAGTGACTCTCCTTTTGCACCCACAGCAAGGCGAAGAAGTCTTTACAAAACCCTCTTCCACGACTACCTGGTGTGGTAGAGAACCGTCGTCCTTTTACACTCTTTGCAATGTTTGTAGAGAACCGTCCGTCCTTTCACACTCTCTCGGTGTAGGCAGAGAACCCTTCATCCATTCACTCTCTCCTAGTGTGGGCAGAGAACCCTTCGGCTGTTCACACTATCCTAATGTTGGAAGATAATCCTTTGGCTGTTCACACTCTCCTAGTGTGGGCAGAGAACCCTTCGACTATTCACACTCTCCAAGTGTGGGCAGAGAACCCTTCGTATGTTCACAGTCTCCAAGTGTCGGCAGAGAATCAGATCTCTTTGACAGATCTTCTTCACAAGAAATCTAGAAGGAAGAAAGAAAAAGAGTGAAGAAATCACGAACCAAGAGCGGAGACTCTTACCTTTAAGTACCAAGTGAAACCTTCACGCTCCAATGGCAAGAAATCTCCTTCAAAACCTTTCTCACACTCTCTCCTTGACTCTCCTTTCAATTGGCACGAAGACCAGTTATCAAAAAGATTAAGTGAGAGTCTAAATTGGACTATTTATATGAAAGATAAGAAAAATCTTCTAAAACTGTAAATATTCAAGTTAATACGAAGGTGATCGTCCTGTACGATCGTGGATCATCCTGGACAATTTTACTTAAATGTGTGGAAATGAATCAAATGTATATTGGTATGAACTAAAATCATACCCGATCATCATCTCGTACGAACTAGGTTCGTTCGGTATGAACAGTTATACCCTAGGTCGGTTCCCAAAAAATTGCAGGATGTCAGCAAAATTTGAAGAGTCGGTTCAGTTCGTCCTAGGACTAATATGAGTTCGTCCAGACGAAATTTTTACAGAGAACTTTTCATCCTGGGATGAATTTACGTTCGTCGGGATGAAAATTTTTTAGAGACTGTTTCATCCTGGAATGAATATTAAGTTTTTCTGAACAAAAATTTTCCAGAGGACATTTCGTCCTGGGATGAAGTTGAGTTCGTCTGGATGAAAATTTTCCAGAGAGCATTTCATCCTGGGACGAATATGAATTTCATCTGAACGAATTTTTTCTAGAGAACATTTCGTCCTGGCATGATTAAACTTCGTCTTGGACGATCAGGACTTAGAAAAATTTTCTTCGGCTCCTGTTCGTTCGATTGCTCTTCGAAGGATATAATTGACTTGATCGTCCCATACAAACTATGTTCGTCCCGTACGATCAGCATAAATTTTTAAAGATCTCCTTAATTGTGTGTGTGTTTATTCACTCCATTACAATCACTCTCTCTCAAACTTAATTCAAAGAAAAGTACAAGCTTCAATTTATAAAATCTCTCATACTAAATTAGATTTCTTCAGTAGTCTGGAGTTTGATTTTCCTGAAATGTTAGTTCACACAAGAGTAAAAATAAATCTTCCAAAAAATGTTAGGAGATATCAATACTTAAAACAATAATATTTTGAATCATCAAAACTATACAAGTTGCAAGAATGCAAAACATGCAAATAGAAACTCTCTTAACATTCTCCCACTTTTTGATGATGGTAAAACAATTATTATTTGTATAATTTTAAATTCTAAGAATCTCCTAAACTCCCCCTGAATTGATGAACACATGAAAATAAGGGGCATTGAATCATATTTTTTTGTTTTCAAAAATTTTAGAGATACAAAATAAAATAAACACACATACGATACGATAGAACAAATACAAAATAAAACAAAAACACATACGTTATGATAGTACAATACGATACGATAGAATAAACAATTTCTCCCCCTTTTTGACAACAACAAAAAGTAAAGAAGAAAAAGACTTAAAATGTAAGCAGTCATATGAAAATCATTTGATAATTAAATCTTGAAAGTGATTGAAATAAGTTTTGCAAATAAAATCAAAACAATAGGAAAATCATAGTAATTCATAGAATTTAAGAAAAGATATAACATAGATAATAAAAAGTGTTTATAAAAAACATAAGTCAATTTAAATACTAAGATAGAGAAAATCATTGCAAAAAGGATGAATAGAAAATTTGTATATTTCAAATTTTAATACGAAATATAAATATACAGAAGATCAATTTGAATTAAGAGATTAAAAGATTATGGAAAGAAATAACTACCACATGTGGCGCTTTGCACATATTTTTCAAATTTGTGGCACATTTTTTGTGCATCTTTTCACTTATGGGCTTATTTTGTGTCTCTTTTTCAACTTGCGAACCATTGCGCATTCTTTTTGATTTTTGTACATTAGTATATTTTTCAAGAGTAATTTTGATCTTTTCAAAATCAATAATAAAAATTTTCAAATTTTTATAAGTGCATATATATATTTATTGATAAGTGAAATTCAAAATAAGAAAACATCACAGTTGCAATAATAATATTAGACATTAATTTAGTTTAAATAAGAAACATAAAATTGATAATCTTAATTACATCAAGTTATAAGAAATACTTAAATTTAGAAAAATTATATTTTCTAATGAATTTAATTTTAACTTGAAATTCAAAGTATAGCACTTTAAGATCAAAAGTTATAATGATTGTCATAAGGGCTAACACACATTCCAAAATATTAAAGCCAACATAGAATAATTTATATTGATATCAAAATGAAGGATATTACAATGTAAGCATATGATATCAATATGACATAAGATTCAAAAACAACAACATCTAATGAAAAAAAAATACAACACATTTTCCTAACCCACAAAATGAAAACAACAACTATAGAAACACATAAAATCAAGTGCAACTATCACTCAGAAGGACCCTGATCTGGAGGAGGTGGAGGAGGTACAGCACCAAAGAGGATAAAATAAGTATTTATCATAAGCACGTTGGTACTAATATCATTCATTTGATTTCTCATAAATCCCATGTCATGTAGATACTATGCATCCTGCTGCTGAAGATGAGTCTCAATTTGATCAAAACGTTGATCAGCATGAGTCTCTAGGCGATCAAATCTTTGAACTAAATACTGATAATTTGGTTCATTAGTAGGTGCAGGTGCAGCTTCATGGTCTTTCTCAGTATCACTAATTATATATGTTTTACTTGGTTAATCTTTATTGAAGATTTCTCTAAATGATCCGTCGTTATAGTAGAGCGGTTCTTCAAACTCTTGATCAAGATGGACCAAATTGTATTTCTTCTCCAGAATGTAGGCAACTAGATGTCCTAAGGTGATGCTCTTCTTTCTTTTATGCTTGACATGACCAATTTCAAAAAATCCATAAAGATAGTCAAGGATTAGTTGGGCTTCATTTATAGGTTCTTTAGTCATGATAAAAAAGGTTACCATAGAAAGAAGAGGAGTAATATTGATTCTATCACCAGCTTTAAGAATTATAGAAGTTCTAAGAACATGCTGGATGATACGTGCATTACAAATGAGATCAGATACTTTAGGCATATGCTCGTTAAAATTAAATCCTCAAATTGAAGTATAAATTTCATACCATTGATAATAAGAAAAGGTGATCAAGGTATGTGTTCTAGCTCTCTCAATCCTTGGTGATTTCAACTTTTTTCTTAAAGACATAGGAACGGATTACAGAATGGTCGGAGTTAAAAGACATGTTTACAAGGAATAGTAGAAGGTTTCTTTATTATAGAGATAAACTAGGGTGAGGATAAAGCCAAACTGAGTTGAAGCTAATAAGTTCATTATATGAAAAGTTAGTTGTTCCTAGATAAGAATTCTAGAAGGTGTGATCTTGGCGGAGACAAACCTAGAAAAGGATTGCTCATTAGCTTTGGAAAGAAAATTTTTAGAAGAATTCC